AATTTCAATGCTACTTGAAAGCAATTTTAGCACAGTTACCTTTCCCAGATTATGGTATAACACTTTTTAAAGAGAAAATGTTAATAAAATGAAAAATTGAGGTAGTAACAAAGGCTGCAGAGAATTCGATTTAATAACGTAAATAAAATAACAAAACAAAATCTTTGACAGAAAAAGTTCCTTAATTAAAAAACATCTTTCAGTAAATAAACAGTTTTTTTGATCAATAAAGAACAGGACAAATGATTATATGAAAAGTGTCAAAAAAACGATGCTAGGGTCAAACTTCAACAGCACCACCACCTACAGAACAAATATTTAGGAAGACTAATGGTATTTGAAAGATGAAAGGAACCAGGCAAAAATGTTCATCAAAACTGGTTTTGTAAACGTCGTCTATCACAATCAAATAAACTCAGATTACGACCAAAAACCTAAATCGGGTGAAAGTTAAAAATTATTCAGCGATATGACAGCTTTTAAAAACTGTAAGTTGACTTACCGATACTTCATCACTGTCAATCAGCAGGCAGTCTGAAAAGAAATAAAAAAACCTCATAAGCTTTAGGTTTGCCAAAAGATGTCCCACTATGGCTAATATAAGATAAATGATTTGGAAGTAAAACTCTAACAGATACCGTTTATCATAGTCGCTTCCAGCGCAAAACAACTGATTGACAGACTAAATGTTAATCTCATCACAATAACAATTTACACTTCGTAAATTTCCTAACGACCGCAGGTCCACTTCTAGCATAATCCAGTAATCAACTTTATCAAAAACACAGCTATTCTTGCAAACAAGAAATGTATAGAAACCCCAGAAATCTCCTGAAATCTTTATAACCTTTTACATCGGTAGACCAGGTAACAACTTCCTCTTGAACAACTCATTGCTTTCTACTTCCACCCAGCATAACAGCACCCAGCGGTCTTAATGACTGAACAACACCAATTACCTTGAATAATTCAGACAAATTTCAAATGAAGAACTGCGCAAAAATCTGAACCCAAATTGACAATCAAAAAAAGACAGCAACCTCGACTCAGAAGAGCAACAAAAACGCAATGCGTCCTTCCCTAGTACAAATCGTTCTGAGAATGATCATTAATGAATGCTGCACCTTAAACTGCCTCCTTATTCAATTGTTGGCATCTTTCTAAAAGCACTCTACATAAACTAGTAAATTTATTGGGCGAACTCTTCCCAAAAAAATCTTCCTGACGATTAAACGACTCCTCAACGTTTCCTCTCTCAAGAAAATTCCATTCCACTTCAGGTCGAAAATCCAAAAAATAGCATGAATTCAACAAATTCTTGCACCAACTTCAAAAGAACCTACTTGAACTCCCAACACAAAAATACAAAATTAAAAAAGAAAAAAACACCACTGATATATGCTAATAATACAAATTCGCAACTTGTCTGTACAAGACAGAAGAGTTAACAAGCAAAAATCTAGCACTGCAACACATTTATTACTGAGTGATATAACAACCTTATCACGTTGCACCTAATACTGGAACTTTAAAAATATCCGTCCCTAAAGTTATATATGGAATAAAAGGATCAAAAGACCCATATATTATGTGTTACCATTACATAAAATCTTTATCTACACAGTTTAAAAAACTCATCTTTACAACAAATCTAGAAGGTGAAGTGCACAAACGAGCAAGAAAATATACTAAACGCCATGGGTAACCAAGTTTCTCCTGGTCCTAAAAACCACTATGCCTTTATCAAAAAGTCTCCTATGAGTCAAAAATTGTCGCACGCCAATCCTTAAAACGACGATAATCTTTACGAAGTTCCCCATTCTCGGGTAGTTCAGCAAGGACCTTAGCTGCTTCGGCCTTGTAATCTCGAACCTTATGCACTAAAACAATTAAAGTAGCCACCAAAGAGAAGTCCTTAGTGTAAAAATCATGAATTTTATCGCAGATGGAGCATGCAGAGACGATCTCTAGATATACTTGCAAATTTTACGTTGTATCATAAAACCGTGCAAATTTATCAAGATGATAATAAATCCCAACGATTTCTGAAATTCTTTCACTTCAAAAAAAAACTGAAATTATAGAAAAAAAAAACAAAAAGGACTAAACGACACGCTGATAAAACTTTCAAGGAAAGGAAAAATTCATTGAAAGCCATTTTAATTTTGAAAAGCCTTAGAATTTCAAGAAATGAAAATATTACTGGAATTAAATCACAAAAAAAAGCAAGCGGTAAGACAGTAAACTAACTAAGGAAATGCTGCAAAACAATCCCCTACTTTCCTGCAAGTTGAATGTTTTACATACCTGGCTGAGGGGGATCTGGTGAATCATAGATATGAAGCTTACTAAAATAACCAACTTTTGGCCTTTCAATATTCATCTTCTCTTCTACACATCGATCAACAAAACGTTGAGGCTCACGACATCTGAAATATATCTTTTATAAATAAAAAAGTAAATTTTAGATGTTTATTTTAAGATTTTTATCAAGAGAACTAAACCAATTGTAAACATAATTGTAACTGTCAAAGCATAGTGTAGTTTAAAACAAAATAAAGCAATTTTTTGAAATTCTTTTCTGCTTTTGGCATCATGTTGATTACACTGCAGTCCGTCAATTATAAAACTAAACACTAGAAGAAAAGTAGGTCCAAAATTTTAATCTCCTGAAGAAAAGAACGAAAACATACCTCTCAGGTTTTGGGTTCATAATCAATAGACGAAAGAAAGTTAAAAAATTCAAAATATCCTTGAAATTACTTCGAAACAAATAGTTTTGAACTACTTCTATCAATACAATCAGCATATCGTTCAACTTCCGGCGCACAATTTTTCTTCAAAGACTGTAGAAATCGAACGCCACACGCCGTTACCGCTGCACCCTCCTTCAGTGTTTTTCGTGGATCTTCAAGTTCCTTCCTTCGAAGCATAAACACCTTAATTTTCAATAATTTTGTTTTATAAAATTTGCAGGGTATCCTATAAAAGATTTTAAAAATAGTGATTTGCCAAGAAAGAAATGCCCATTACCAATTCTACGACGAATATTAAATCTATAGTAGTATCTTACGTAAAACGTTCATTTCAATTTAAAAGCCGAATTAGAAAATTCTGAAAAAAAACAAACCAATCTTGTGCAGAAAGGGAAGACTATTTCTAAACCTAACATATATTCTCAAAATCTTTATGAAATTCGCGTTAATCAACATAAATATGAGGAGGAACGTCAAACTCAGAACTATTAGAAACAAACCTTGATTTCGTCCTCACATGCTACATGCATGTAAGGAGCAACAGCCTTTAAGTAAGGAGTTGAAAGCGTTATTTCCTGGGGTACTGTGAGCTCTTCATCTGTTGGCATAGGAAGGTCATTTGTTATTGACATTTCCAAATAAAACTTTCTGCTTTGTACCTGAAAAAGAACAGGCGTAAGCTATTGTTCTGAATTTCTTTTACAGCAAAACACCATTCAATATCAGGATCAATAAAAGAAAAAACTGATAGATACACGTCGTAACTTAAATAAAATAAAATAAAAAGAAATTTTAAAAGTAAAAGTAAAAAATAGCAAATAATAATTATTAGATGCAAATTTGAGTAAGCAAATAGCTCAGTTCAATTATAAAATGTCTAACAAAAATAAATTTATGACTTTCCACTTGAATACAGTCAGCGTTCGGAAACAAAGAAACAGAATCTAATATATCTCACAGTGAATGCTTAAACAAAAACTACTTGTTTGAAAGCGGTACAAAAAAGTGTTCCAAAGAAGACTGTTTAAAAAATAGCTTATCAAGTCAACGAAAAAAAAAAGCACAATTATCCTGCATAAAAATATAAGTTAACAGTTTTTCTGCAAACATTTTTGGATGATTCAGGTTTCTTTAGCTGTCATTTTAACAAACTGAACCCTGGACTAAAAAGACTTGCTAGACGTTGATGGAAACTATTACAGTGGCTAGGAGCAAAATTAGCACGTAAACTAGTTAAATTCTACTAGGCTTCACGGTGACATCCTAACGTCTGTAACCACTCAGTATCAAAGCTAAAAGGTATAGCGCTGTGCGTAGCAAACTATTAAGCTGTAAGAAAGTGGTGTGGCTGTAAAGTTCAGCCGCTTCGGATACAAATATCTAATCTCTAAACACTTGCAGCATTATAGACTGTAATTAAACATCATAGGGGGCAGCTTTAGTTTGTAGATCACAAAATTATTTATTTTGCAGTTTTAAAAACAAGAACGGCTCAGCGAGGCTGCATTTAATTGAAACTTTTAAGGCTACGTTTGATAATTCTGGAAGCACAAGAATAATTTTAACGATATAAATCAGTAGATGCAAAAAACAAGTTTACAGTCTAGAGGATTCTCTATACCGAAACGTTCGCTCTTTATTTCCATCATCAGTGGAAGACGAAAATTTGTTGACTTAAAACTGCAAAAATTCCTGATCCGCCTTTTTAGCAAATTTCCTCCTTTACTGTTTTCTCCAAAACTATACATCCATTTTATTTTCATTACTGTTACTTAGTATATAGATGATTACACGTGTAAATCTGTTTCGATAGCTGCATAAAGAAAGCACGGAGTTTTCAAAGTTTCCAATTCATTGTCTTTTTCTACTACTGTGACCGACCTGAAGATTGTTTGGATAACAGTGGTAAAATAAATTTTTTTTAGACTTTTCTGAACGGCTCTAATAGTCATTAGCAAAAATTTCCAGGACTCAATCGAATGTTTTGGGCAGGCGGACAGGAAGAAGGAAGGAATAATAATTACAATTAAATAAGATGGACAGTCACTAATGCCTTAGCCATTAAGAGTATCTATAACTGAGGGAAATGGACGGGCCGGGTACAGCAGCTCAAATATCAACTTTTAAATGCTAAGTATAAGCTGGCATATATTATTCCGTTCAAAAAATTACCATAACTTTTTGATCTATTATTGCCATCAATAAGTATTTCGGCTAACAGCCATCTTTCTGCGAGCTGTATAATTGATTTTTTTTTTTTGCAGTTTGACATGTAAACATATATTGGCTTTTTTTTTCTGTGTGAACAAAAAATTTTTACCATAAATCGGATTACTGTTCCAAAATTTTATGTAAAATGGAGGTAGGGGAATTTAAAATTTATTTTAAGTCTGCAGCCAAATAAAGCAGCAGCTAGAGAAATGTAAGAAACTTAAATTCTCTAATGTGTTAATAAATTCAATTACAAAGTAAGCGAAAAAAATGGTCTATCAACAGCTTTTTAGTGAGTATGTAGATTAATATATTAAATTGTAGATATAGCCTCTCAAAAAATCACACTTTCATTTCTACAGTTAGAGTACAGTTTTTTGCAATCATATTGACAGAGTTTTTAGCTAAAGCACTAAAAAAATCACAAACTTTTTCTTTAAATAGTGTTTCAAGTATAACTGTTCTCTCATAAAGATGAAGATGAATTCTGGGAGCATACCAACAAATTTTGGTTTTCAGTATAATCAAAAATTTTTCAAGCTCTTTTTCTCTCTTAAAAAAACAAATTTACTTCGTGTTAAAACTCAGAAGATCATAGTTATAAAAATAGGTCAATAGGTCATGTAATGCTAATAAATCTGCGTATCAGTCTATTATCAGTGTTGTTCAGCTGATCAATTTTTTAGCGTTTATATTCAACAATTTGAAGCGTATCGGTGTATATTTAAAGAACAGTTTATCCGACTGATAAATAGTCAATATAGTTTATTTGTTGAAGTGCAAATTAGCTTTGGTTTTATCTTTCTTATTTAGCAACAACTTAATGGTTCTTAATAAGAAAAAAGCAGGTATCAGCAAGGTTTAGTTCATGACTGCTTATACTGCCAGTTCGTTAAGTGGAAAAAATTCTTACAAAAAAATTGTTCATAACTGCCATTATAGAAATATTCTAGTGTATTGAACTTACGTCAATCAACTTTAAAACATCCATACTATTAGCGCAACAGATAGTCTAAAAATTTTTTCTCATACATAAGTGGCTTAGTGTGTAACCGACTTGACAGCCCCCTATGAAGATAGTTGTTAAGGTAATGTAAGTTAATAGAGCTGATTGTTCACTGTCACTGTTTAAAAAAACAAGTCTAATTATATTGATCTCTTGGTTTCTTAGCTTGCTCACCGTGACTTAGTTGGATCATTTGTCACTAGCTTCTGCCATGCGGGTCGTCTTTCCAAATAGCAACTTTATTCCTCGCTACTTTGATTCAATCAGTACAACCTCAAACTTTGTCTAATTAAACCCAGAAAAGAAATATAAAACAACATAAACTAGCAATAATGAGCGTCCACAAATATACAAATACCAACAAAGGAAGCTAAGAGCACTATCATAATTGACGAAGTGATTTAATCAATTTCCTAGTCTTCTTCCATTTGATCTTTTATATAGTGTAGCCCGCCGGCTTCTCTTCTTTCTATCTTCTTGCCCTCCAATCCGACAGCTGACAGGGATTCTCCCTTCACGTGTTGCTTTTCTTCCTGATATTGATTGCCATCCACGCTCGGGGGACCCGGGAGTGTCTTGTCTTCTCCTTCTTTGCTTTTCGGCAACATGTTCGGTCTTCCTTTTCTCGCAGTGTCTGCTCAATGTTCTCCTTCGTTAGGACGGTGATGCCCAACCCTTCTTTGCAGATGTTGAGCATCTGTTGAAATGCTTCTTTGAGGTTCGAAATTATCTCCGTTTGAGTTTGCCCCGCATGATAAGGGAATATAGTTTCCTCATGCGAGCTAGCGATACAGATGGGTTGCTTGTGGTTTTTGGGGGGTTCAGTAGGGGAAACTGGAGGTTTGAACCCTCCGAGGTACTTACCACAACTTCTGCGTTTCCTGACGTCCATGTTGACTGGCTACCAATCTGAGCTGACTTCCTCATTTATACCTGTCGGGCGTGCTAAAAGAAGTTTGTTGGGGAGTGTGTTTTGTCGTCCAGACATCCCCAAATTTGATAAGAGGTGACGGATTTGTTATCACTTTCTTCAGCTTCCATGTTTAGACCTCGCTATGCTCGGCGACAAGTTCAATCCTCCCATTCTCGCACTGTCTGCTTGATGTTTTCTTTCGCTAGTGTCTGCTTGATGTTCACTCTATCGGATTGCTTCGATAAGATTAAGGAATAACGTTTTCACCAATTACTCGTGAACCAGGTCTACTTCTTAACCATCGCATCACGATAAGCTCTTTAACAATTCACGCGATACATGGCTGATCAATTAAGGCTTTACAACATACCGCATTAAGTATTCAATTATTCGATTAAAACGGAGACATATGAACAATTAAGGTATAACAAATGACACTTTCCAAAACTAGCTTAACAATTTGCGAATTAAAAGAGGGTGGCAATATCATGTACACTAATGCTTAATAAGGTGTGAAATCGTGGTTTGCGCGCCGTGACTTGATTAGATCGTTGGTCACTAGCTTCTGCCAAGTGGATCTTCCTAAGAAACCAAGAAATCAGTGTAATTAGATCTATTTCTTTATATAGTGCAAACCTTTTAAATTGTTTCGGTCATGGTCGGAACAGATCAAAAGTAGAACAACTGACACTACAATACTGTAGTCAAATGTGTTTTATCAAATGAAACTACAGTCAAGTTTTATTTCAAGTCAAGTGAAAAGGGAAGATTTAATACTTTCGGTAAAACTATATAAATAATTTTTTCTTGTAGGAAATGTACTTTTTTTTTTTAAAAAAAAAGAGAGCAATATCAGTTTTCGAGAAGTTACTTTTGATAGGTATAGAAATTTAAAGTTATATTTTTTTCTTCTCAACTGGCTATGGCAATAATCTTAATTTTCAAGTTTTAAAAAAAAAATTATAATTTTTTTTGCTATTTTCAAATTCAGTGGCAGTGAAGTTTTCATGTTGATAAAGGAAACAAAAAAGTCATCAGAAAATGCTTAATTGTAGAATGTACAAAAATTGAAGCTTCCACTAAATTTATCACAATGAAACAGTGAAATATCATACGTTTGATCTGTTACTTTCTTTTATTTGTTTATTTATTTTTTGTGGATACCCTCTGTATGATTAGTTTTTAGAGTTGCTGTTTTTTTTTTTTGTGTTTTTGTTCGGGAAGCTTTTGAAAAACTTTATCGTTTTC